AAAAAAAATCAAAATCAATTTTGCCGACTTAATGTGCTACTCTCGAAAGTTTTTCTTCTCTGCCCACTTCTATCGATATTGCCAGTAAGTCTCAGTTCTTATTCGTTGAAAGGTTCAAAAATGTCGTTATATCCTATTCGTTCTAACGCACTTCGCATTTCATCATGAAAGTTACACTTACTAAAGATGATTTAAGAATTGTCCTTTAGAAGCAGCAATGAGCTTATTTTTAGAAGATGAAGACATGGAATGGAGAAAAACCGTCGCCATTGACTAGCCGGTTTCGTTAAGAATAACTGGATTGTTGCCGCTGCATACTTGTCTAAGATAGTTAGATTTTAAGTTTTTCTGCACACCAATGTGAACGGGTTTGAAAATCGTAAAGAAAGGAGTTGCGCAAGAAAAAGTTAAGCAGGTCAATATACTATTTAAGATAATGAAAACATATAAAAGCAGCATATGAAACCCCTAAGGGAAAAAAAAGGTAAGAAGTGAGAATAATGTAAGAGCGATCCTAGGCAAATATGATGGAGAAAACTTCTGCTTTAAAACTTCTCTAAGTTCAGTCATTTAGCCATATTTTATGGACTGCTAGTTGCTAATTAGTCTAATAATTGAAAGAAAACGTTTTCTGGTTTGCTTGCATGGCCTGCCTCACTGATTAATTATGATTTCTGCGCACCAAAAGCAGTGTCCACGTGATTCCAAGGTTTTTGAGTTTTTACTGCATTACTGCGATCAGCGATATCGGCAAGCTCCACAAGTCTGAATGAAAAATAACGAGAGAGGAGTAAGAAAATTGCGCCAAACCTTTTCTCCGCAATGGTCTCTATTCCCCATGCCACCTAGCCAGCGATTTTTCCTTATGCTTGGCCGTGTCTGGCCACTCTAGCCAGCAATTCCATCTGGCTAGTAAAGCAGGTTTCTCGAGACAAGCTGCAACTGTGCTGCTGCGACTCGTCCCCGGCTGTTCAAAATGGGCCTCCATTACATGACAGCTTCGCACAAAACAAAGTTTATGCTTGTATCCAGCACTCCATGATCTAAATCTCACCGAGATAAACTGCGTGTTAAGGAAAACAAATCGTCAAAAAGTTGGAGATCTAGCGGGGCGCCGCTTCTTAGTGTAGGAACCGCTGAGTTGTCTCAGGCGTACACGCATGGATTATGCCAATGATCACATTTTCGAAGTGTACAGATTGAACTTGACCGACGTCTAGGATCGCGCTAGGACCCTATGCGCAGGAACTATAGTACATGGGCTACAGCCTCATAAAAGTGCAGCCCATCTACCATACTTCCTGCGCTGCCCTTCCTGACATTTAGTTAAATATTAAGTTTTCACTTGATTTCGCCTATGGTTCCTTTCCTATTCTTATAGTAGGTTCACCAGTCAGTCCACGGCTTATTTTTTCTGACTCTTGCGCAAGTAAGCCAGATGAACTATTAAGTAGGAGAGAAGTTTTGGTTCTCGAGGATAGGTAAAAGTTTGACTAGGAAAATTCATTCACAGTTCACAAATTATTAGCTTGACTTTAGTCGGTTAGACACAAAAAATGTCTGCCGATAAACACTCCTACGTATTTGAGGAACACTTTCTCCTTTAGTCTTAAAACAACAGAAGAGCATTGGCACTTGGCATCAAAGCATTTGGAAAAAAGTTGCAACCGAACAACTACTTATTAGTAAGCTGTGAGAGAGATGGTTTAGTGATAAAGAATTGCAGGCTAGGTTAAGTTAAAAACGGATTTCCACTTCGAAAGATATTTTACACTTTTGAGATCCTCACAGAGTTGACGCAAATCGCATAAATTTTTTGCTGTTGATAAACTCATTAGTTTGACCGTCAGATTCTTCTTAAAATACTATCATACAATTTACTAGACACCTTCCTTAAAAATAGTAGATTATTTTGCGAGCTAGAAATTGAGAAAGCCTTTTTAGCATACGCTTGACAAGCTAAAAACTCGACGTTTGACGACGGTGAGCAAAAACATGGAGATGTTAATTGAACATGCCAATTGAGCGTAGTGATAAGCAGAGAGAAGCGTGACTAGCGAAAGTACAAGTGGGGGATATCATTGGTGAGAAACACCCAAACACAAGTGAGAAGAAGAAGCCGTAAAGAGGCTTAGGAGACGCGACACGCATACTTTGTTCCCTCACCTCTTTTCGCCATGTACTATACCGTTTTTGTTCCAACTCAGGTCTGAGGTGAGGGAAGAAAGGGCTTTTCCGTCAAATCATGCTTGATCACGGCGATAAGCAACAGCTGAGAAAAGACCATCATAGAATCTTTTAGTTTCCAACTTCGTGTCAATAAACAGAAAAAA